ATCATATCTTATTCTTGTTTACGTATTTGGGCTTCTTGTTTCCATGTGTGTGTGTGTGAGTGTGAGGCACAGGCGGATTCAGTGACGCATTTCCTGCACATAGTTTTATCTTGTATCAAGTGCTACAAGAGACACGACTGATCGATAAAGATGTTATGTTTGAATGGCGTCGTGGGACACTGACTGACGCCAAGAGATTAGAGGGATCCTTCAATGGCGTCGTAAGACACTGACTGACGCCAAGAGATTAGAGGGATCCTTGAATGACGTCATGGGACAATGACTGACGCCAAGAGATTAGAGGGATCCTTGAGTGGCGTCATGGGGCAATGACTGACGCCAAGAGATTGGAGGGATCCTTGAGTGGGGTCATGGGACACTGGCTGACGCTAAGAGATTAGAGGGGTCCTTGCATGGTGCACTGGGATACTGAGCGATGATAGATTCTTCTTAGGCCTTCTTAAGCTCATTTCATTATTGAACCCGCATGGCCTGTGGCTCCTAAATATAAAATACCTCTTCAATATAGAAAGATGCTACTGACCTCCAGTTAAACTCCTGACCTCCAGTTAAACTCCTGACCTCCAGTTAAATTACTGACCTCCAGTTAAATTACTGACCTCCAGTTAAATTACTGACCTCCAGTTAAACTATTGACCTCTCGCTTAACTGGAGTCAGAGCCACGCGCAACACATTATGTAAAATGTTGTCTGTAAATAAAATGTACTATGGATAGCCAACCCCTTGCATCCCGAGGAGTAACTAGAGCAAGGGTTCTTAACATTTTTGAAGCACTTCACCCCTTCTTAACTTCCAAACAATACTCGCACCCTCCATCTTGATTTCAGAACATAATTCCCCCACCCCAACGATATAAAATGCTAATAAAAATGCAAATAAACCTGATATTCTGGGTCTTCCCCCCCCACCACCCCCGGAAACTGCCTGGTTAAGAACCCTTGAGTTTGTGACGCCCGTTGGGGGGGGGCTTGATTTTTCCTCCCGAATCAACGAAAATTAACACTATCCACAGAATACATTTGAGATACAACAATACCCACATGATACATATGAAATACCACAATACCTACATGATACATATGAAATACCACAATACCCACAAAATACATATGAAATACCACAATACCTACATGATACATATGAAATACCACAATACCTACATGATACATATGAAATACCACAATACCTACATGATACATATGAAATACCACAATACCCACAAAATACATATGAAATACCACAATACCTACATGATACATATGAAATACCACAATACCCACAAAATACATATGAAATACCACAATACCTACATGATACATATGAAATACCACAATACCTACAGAATACACATGACATACAATAGAATCCACTTATCTTGACCTCGGTTAACTCGCCAACCCCGTTATGTCGACGTTTTTAAAGTGGATTAGGATTTTCTCCTCGGTTATGTCGATTATTTTATGTCGCCAACCCTGATATCTCGAGCAAAGGGCGAACAAATTTGCCACTTAACGTCGGTTATCTCGACCCCCCATGATCAATCGTCGGCTTTTGAAAATTATATACAACAGAAACGTGCCTGCTTCAAACTGTAGTAATTGAAATGAAATGAAAATATTGTTGTCCGCGCAAATTAACTTATCACAGCAAGAAGCGAGGAGCGAGAGGCTTGCAGACAAAAGAGAGAGCGACTATTATGTTAATTTGAGAGCGGGTTGGGGTTTTGGCTGAGTATAACTCTGGATGAGCTCTAGGTTCTAAGCTCTACCTTCTAAGCTCTAGGTTGTAAGCTCTACCTTCTTAGCTCTAGGTTATACGCTCTACCTTATTAGCTCTACCTTCTTAGCTCTACCTTCTTAGCTCTACCTTCTTAGCTCTACCTTCTTAGCTCTACCTTCTTAGCTCTACCTTCTTAGCTCTACCTTCTTAGCTCTACCTTCTTAGCTCTAGGTTATAAGCTCTACCTTCTTAGCTCTACCTTCTTAACTCTACCTTCTTAGCTCTACCTTCTTAGCTCTACCTTCTTAGCTCTACCTTCTTAGCTCTACCTTCTTAGCTCTACCTTCTTAGCTCTAGGTTCTAAGCTCTACCTTCTTAGCTCTACCTTCTTAGCTCTACCTTCTTAGCTCTACTTTCTTAGCTCTACCTTCTTAGCTCTAGGTTCTAAGCTCTACCTTCTTAGCTCTACGTTCTAAGCTCTCCGCTCTGAGCACTAATTTATAAGCTGTAAGTTCTGAGCACTAAAATTATGGCTAAAACCCAAAACACAAGGACACAAGGCCACTGACTTTTCTGTTAAAAATTTGCACTGAGCTGAACTGCATATAGTTTAACCTTGATTGTGATAGGTGTCATACAACCTCGACACATACACCGATGTCATCGACTTATGCAAAGATGACCTTCGGGGATTGCAATCGCTTTGATAAAATAAGTTTAGCCTTGAGTGATTGAAAAATGTTGTTATTGAACTGGGCAACCACATCGGTTACAGCTGACCTATGTGTAGGTTTATATTTAGTAGCAAGTAGAGGGTCGTCATTTTTATGTTCAGTTTAGAAGTATAGCTAATTAGCGAGAAATGTTTGATAGTTACCAAAGCTCCGGTATAAATTAGTATTCCCCAATATTGGAAAAGTTTGAATTTTTCCTTTATAAACACTTGAGTCCCTCTCTCTCACTTTCTCTCTCATCTCCCCTCACCCACACTCTCCATCTCCCTCCCTCAACCTCTCTCCCCACCTCCTTCTCTCATCCTCTCTCTCCACCTCGCTCTCTCACCTCTCTTTCCACCTCCCTCTCTCACCCTCTCTCTCCATCTCCCTCTCTCACTCACTCTCCACCTCCCTCCATCACCCTCTCTCTCCACCTCCCTCTCTCACCCTCTCTCTCTCCATCTCCCTCTCTCACCCTCTCTCTCTCCACCTCCCTCTCTCACCCTCTCTCTCTCCATCTCCCTCTCTCACTCTCTCTCCACCTACCTCTCTCTCTCCATCTCCCCCACCCTCTCTCTTTCCACCTCTCTCTCTCACCCTCTCTATCTCCACCTCTCTCTCCCACCCTCTCTCTTCACCTCCCTCTCTCACCCCTCTCTCTCTCCATCTGCCTCTCTAACTCTTATCTCCACCTCCCTCCCTCACCCTCTCTCTCTCCACCTCCTTCTCTCACCCTCCTTCTCTCCATCTCACTCTCTTACTCTCTCTCCACATCCCTCCCTCACCCTTTCTCTCCACCTCTCTCTCTATCTCCCTCTCCCGCTCTCTCCACCTCCCTGTCTTACCCTCTCTCTCTCCACCTCCCTCTCTCACCCTCTCTCTCTCCACCTTCCTCTCTCACCCTCTCTCTCTCCACCTCCCTCTCTCTCTTTCTATCTCCCTCTCCCGCTCTCTCCACCTCCCTCCCTCACCCTCTCCAGCTCCCTCCCGCACCCTCTCTCTCTCCATCTCCCTTCTCACCCTCTCTCACCCTCTCTCTCCACCTCCTTCTCTCACCCTCTCTCTCTCCTCCCCCCTCTCACCCTCGCGCTCTCCAACTCCCCCTCTCCCCCCTCTCTCTCTCTCCACCTCCCTCCCTCACCTCCTCTCTCCATCTCCCTTTCTCACCCTCTCTCTCACACTATCTCTCCACCTCACTCCCGCAACCCCTCTCTCTCCATCTCCCTCTCTCACCCTCTCTCTCACCCTATCTCTCCACCTCCCTCCCTCACCCTCTCTCTCTCTATCTCCCCATTTCACCCTCTCTCTCTCCACCTCCCTCCCTCACCCCTCTATCTCCATCTCCCACCCTCACCCTCTCTCTCCACCTCCCTCTCTCATCTCTCTCTCTCCACCTACCTCTCCCACCCTCTCTCTCTCTCCACCTCCCTCTCTTAACCACTCTTTCACCTCCCTCTCTCACCCCTTCTTTCTATCTCCCCCTCACACTCTCTCTTTCCATCTCCCCCACTCAACCCTCTCTCTCCACCTCCCACCCTCATCCTCTCTCTCTCCACCTCCCTCTCTCACTCTCTCCACCTACCTCTCTCTCCATCTCCCCCACCCTCTCTCTCCACCTCCCTCTCTCACCCTGTATTTCCACCTCTCCCTCTCACCCTCTCTATCTCCACCTCTCTCTCCCACCCTCTCTCTTCACCTCCATCTCTCACCCTCTCTCTCTCCATCTGCCTCTCTAACTCTCTCTCCACCTCCTTCTCTCACCCTCCTTCTCTCCATCTCCCTCTCTCACTCTCTCTCCACCTCCCTCCCTCACCCTCTCTCTCCACCTCCCCCTCTCTCTCTCTATCCCCTCTCTCGCTCTCACCCTCTCCACCTCCCTCCCTCACTCCCTCTATCTCCATCTCCATTCTCACCCTCTCTCACCCCACCTCCTTCTCTCACCGTCTCTCTCTCCTTCTTACCCCTCTCACCCTTGCGCTCTCCAACTCCCCCTCTCACCCTCTCTCTCTCTCCACCTCCCTCCCTCACCTCCTCTCTACATCTCCCTCTCTCACCCTCTCTCACCCTACCTCTCCACCTCACTCCCGCACCCCCTCTCTCTCATTCTCCCTCTCTCACCCTCTCTCTCACCCTATCTCTCAACCTCCCTCCCTCACCCTCTCTCTCTCTATCTCCCCATTTCACCCTCTCTCTCTCCACCTCCCTCTCACCCCTCTATCTCACTCTCCCTCTCTCACCCTCTCTAACTCCCTCTCTCATCTCTCTGTCTCCACCTACCTCTCTCACCCTCTCTCCACCCCCCTCTCACCCCCTCTCTCTCCATCTCCCTCTCTCTCTCTCCCTCCTTCCCTCACCCTCTCTCTCTCTCTCCACCTCCCCCTCTCACCCCCTCTCTCTCCATCTCCCTCTCTCACCCTCTCTCCACCCACCCTCTCACTCTCTCTCTCCACCTCCCTCTCTCACCCTCTCTCTTTCCACCTCCCTCCCTCACCCTCTTTCTCTCCACCTCCATCTCTCACCCTCTCTCCACCTTGTTGATTCCAGAACTTGTGATGGCGGCAGCTGCTGAAGTCTACATCCCCGATGGTGGATGGGGGTGGGTGATTGTCACCTGCTCATTCCTCATCCACATGTTCGTGGTGGGGACGATGTACGCCCTCAGTGTGCTGTACGTGGCCTGGCTCGACCACTTCGACAGCGGCAAAGGGGCGACAAGCTGGATTATATCTCTGGCAGTCGCCGTTATGTTTGGCATTGGTGAGTAGCTCTTAGGTCTGGGGCATTGGTGAGTAGCTCTTATGTCTGGGGCATTGGTGAGTATCTCTTATGTCTGGGGCATTGGTGAGTAGCTCTTATGTCTGGGGCATTGGGGAGTAGCTCTTATGTCTGGGGTTTTGGTGAGTAGCTCTTATGTCTGGGGCATTGGTGAGTAGCTCTTATGTATGGGGCATTGGTGAGTAGCTCTTATGTCTGGGGTTTTGGTGAGTAGCTCTTATGTCTGGGGCATTGGTGAGTAGCTCTTAGGTCTGGGGCATTGGTGAGTAGCTCTTATGTCTGGGGCATTGGTGAGTAGCTCTTATGTCTGGGGCATTGGTGAGTAGCTCTTATGTCTGGGGCATTGGTGAGTAGCTCTTATGTCTGGGGCATTGGTGAGTAGCTCTTATGTCTGGGGCATTGGTGAGTAGCTCTTATGTCTGGGGCATTGGTGAGTAGCTCTTATGTCTGGGGCATTGGTGAGTAGCTCTTATGTCTGGGGCATTGGTGAGTAGCTCTTATGTCTGGGGCATTGGTGAGTAGCTCTTATGTCTGGGGCATTGGTGAGTAGCTCTTATGTCTGGGGCATTGGTGAGTAGCTCTTATGTCTGGGGCATTGGTGAGTAGCTCTTATGTCTGGGGCATTGGTGAGTAGCTCTTATGTCTGGGGCATTGGTGAGTAGCTCTTATCTCTGGGTCATAGGTGAGTAGCGCTATTACCTGCATCCGTTATTCTATTGTTCTAACATTCTTGTCGCCATCTTTGAGACACGTGAACAGGAAATGGTCCGAATTCCAGGAAGAAAGGTTTCTCTGTTGACATTGCCTGGGATATGTCCTCACGTGACCTTGTCCTCACGTGACCATGCCCTCACGTGAACATGCCCTCACGTGACCATGCCCTCACGTGACCATGCCCTCACGTGACCATGCCCTCACGTGACAATGCCCTCACGTGACCATGCCCTCACTGACCATATCCTCACGTGGCCATGTCCTCACGTGACCATGTCCTCACCTGGCCATATTCTCACGTGACCACGTCCTCACGTGACCATGCCCTCACGTGACCTTGTCCTCGCGTGACACTGAGTTACCCTGCATACGGTGCCAAGCCGCCGCCACCACCACGTACCCTCCCAGCCTGCAGAGTTTTGTTTTAAAAATTATCTATGTAACTTCTGCTAATTTTAAATAAATTTAATGACAGTGTAATGTACACCTGGGGTGGCAAGTGATGTGCTTCTTCCACTGTAATGTACACCTGGGGTGGCAAGTGATGTGCTACTTCCACTGCAATGTACACCTGGGGCGGCTTTAAGTGGTGTATTACTTCCACTGCAATGTACACCTGGGGCGGCTTTAAGTGGTGTATTACTTCCACTGCAATGTACACCTGGGGCGGCTTTAAGTGGTGTATTACTTCCACTGCAATGTACACCTGGGGCGGCTTTAAGTGGTGTATTAATTCCACTGCAATGTACACCTGGGGCGGCTTTAAGTGGTGTATTACTTCCAATGTTGAGTGCAAATGTACTGCGTGCACCAAAACCACAACCAAGAAATGACCCTGAAACAGGACAAACCAAAGATTTAGTGGATCTTATGGTCCAGGGTTCGAGACTCAAACACGATATACCAGTTGTACTCTTAGCACTTGTTGATCAACTCTTTTGATCAAATATCTGACTAGAGTAACTGCAGTAATCTTTAAGGGACATCTTCTTTAAAAAAATATATCTAGGTACTTTGGCCCTGTTATTATTTACATTTGGAATCACTACTCAACGTGTCAAATGCGCACTGCTTTCTCTGAAGTCTCCTGATTCTATTTCGAAAGTTTTTGGTAAGATAACGTTGAATTAACACAAAACTAAAAGCTCATGAAAGTCCTGATAGTGTTTTCATGGAGGACAAAAGTAGGTCACAGTTTGACTGATAGCATCAGGTGATACATTCAGCTAGCAACAGGTGATACATTCAGCTAGCATCAGGTGATACATTCAGATAGCATCAGGGGATACATTCAGCTAGCATCAGGTGAAACATTCAGCTAGCATCAGGTGATACATTGAGCTAGCAGCAGGCGCCACATTCAGCTAGCATCAGATGATACATTCAGGTGATGTAAGAGGCACTACAGGTTTGTATAAACTATCATTCAGGTAGCCACGGATGATGTACCCTTGAACCTTCAATGAGAAGGGGAATGTCTTACGGCTGGATGTGAAAAGCAAAGTGATTCATGTACACAGTGACTGCTACAAGTGCACAGTGATGCTACATGTACACAGTGACTGCTACAAGCGCACAGTGATGCTACATGTACACAGTGACTGCTACAAGTGCACAGTGATGCTACATGTACACAGTGACTGCTACAAGCGCACAGTGATGCTACATGTACACAGTGACTGCTACAAGCGCACAGTGATGCTACATGTACACAGTGACTGCTACAAGTGCACATTGATGCTACATGTACACAGTGACTGCTACAAGCGCACAGTGATGCTACATGTACACAGTGACTGCTACAAGCGCACAGTGATGCTACATGTACACAGTGACTGCTACAAGTGCACAGTGATGCAACATGTACACAGTGACTGCTACAAGCGCACAGTGATGCTACATGTACACAGTGACTGCTACAAGCGCACAGTGATGCTACATGTACACAGTGACTGCTACAAGTGCACAGTGATGCTACATGTACACAGTGACTGCTACAAGCGCACAGTGATGCTACATGTACACAGTGACTGCTACAAGCGCACAGTGATGCTACATGTACACAGTGACTGCTACAAGCGCACAGTGATGCTACATGTACACAGTGACTGCTACAAGCGCACAGTGATGCTACATGTACACAGTGACTGCTACAAGCGCACAGTGATGCTACATGTACACAGTGACTGCTACAAGCGCACAGTGATGCTACATGTACACAGTGACTGCTACAAGCGCACAGTGATGCTACATGTACACAGTGACTGCTACAAGCGCACAGTGATGCTACATGTACACAGTGACTGCTACAAGCGCACAGTGATGCTACATGTACACAGTGACTGCTACAAGCGCACAGTGATGCTACATGTACACAGTGACTGCTACAAGCGCACAGTGATGCTACATGTACACAGTGACTGCTACAAGTGCACAGTGATGCTACATGTACACAGTGACTGCTACAAGCGCACAGTGATGCTACATGTACACAGTGACTGCTACAAGCGCACAGTGATGCTACATGTACACAGTGACTGCTACAAGCGCACAGTGATGCTACATGTACACAGTGACTGCTACAAGCGCACAGTGATGCTACATGTACACAGTGACTGCTACAAGCGCACAGTGATGCTACATGTACACAGTGACTGCTACAAGCGCACAGTGATGCTACATGTACACAGTGACTGCTACAAGCGCACAGTGATGCTACATGTACACAGTGACTGCTACAAGCGCACAGTGATGCTACATGTACACAGTGACTGCTACAAGTGCACAGTGATGCTACATGTACACAGTGACTGCTACAAGTGCACATTGATGCTACATGTACACAGTGACTGCTACATGTACAGTGATTGCTACATGTGCACAGTTATTGCTACCTGTGCTCAGTTATTGCTACCTGTGCACAGTGATTGCTATATGTACCCAGTGACTGCTACATGTACACAGTGATTGTTACTTGTGCACGTATATCCTGACCTTCCTGGTGTAAACAATTGTATACCCTGACCTTGCTGGTGTAAACAATTGTATACCCTGACTATCCTAGTGTAAACAATGGTATACCCTAACCCTCCTTGTTAAAGGGCATGTGTGTTACCTCATATCCGACCTCAAATTCCGTTGAAAACTGTGGACTCCAAATGTGGTTGTTAACTTTGGACGGCCACGAATATGGTTGTGAACTTTGGACAGCCACTAATGTGGCTGTTAACTATAGGTAGCCCTCAGTGTGGTTCTAGACTGTGTAGCCCCCATGGGGTTGTTAACTATGGGTAGCCCCCCAATATGGTTGATAACTATGGGGAGCCTCAACTATGTTAGCCCCCATATGGTTGTAAACCATGGGTAGCCCCCATGCCTCTGGATAATTCAATTTCACTTATACTGCCATCATTTGACCTTTATACTGCCATCATTTGACCTTTATACTGCCATCATTTGACCTTTATACTGCCATCATTTTACCTTTATACTGCCATCATTTGACCTTTACACTGCCATCATTTGACCTTTACACTGCTATCATTTGACCTCTATACTGCCATCATTTGACCTCTATACTGCCATCATTTGACTTTAAGGACACATTTCACTTTAGGTAGATGCGAGTTTAGCAGAACCCTTGATATAACGTGTTTCTCTCTCTGCAGGTCCCATCCCGGGGGCTCTGAGTAAACGCATTGGGAACCGCGCTGTTGTCGTCATCGGAAGCCTCGTCATGTGCCTCGGATTCTTCATCAGCTACTTTGCCATGAGTGTCCACGTCTTGGTTGTGACCATCGGTATCATAGCAGGTAACATGATGACTCCTGGTATCATAGTGGGTAACATGACTTTGACTTTTGGCATCAAAGTAGATAACATTATGACTTTGACTTCTGATATCATATCGGTTACCTTTATGACTTTGAATTTTGGTATCATTTAGGTATTACTTACATAGTTTTCTTTTTTACACCACAAAAAATATGTGCTGTGTGTATAGAATCCGTTTATATTTTTTCTCAAACTATAGTCCGGCACCTACAGTGTCTGTTGACGCTGATCCAGTGCCCCTTTGTTTAAAAATTATGAGGACCCCTGACATAGTACGTTTTATACATGAATTTAAATTTGTTTATAATTGAAATATATATAAAATAAACACAGTACATTAGCTATATTTTTTAAAAAACATGTGTATGTCAGAGATCTATTAATTGTTGTCCCTTCGTCTCCAGGTACTGGTGCCGGTTGCTGTTATCTCCCCTCAGTGTCCATGGTGGCCATGTATTTCACCACCAAACGCTCCATAGCCATGGGCATCTCTGCCTCTGGGCTGGGAGCCGGGGCATTTTTCATGGCTCCTTTTCTCAACTGGCTTGTTGACTACTACGGCTGGCGTGGCTGCATGCTCATACTTGCGGGCATTTCATTAAACATGTGTGTGCTTGGTGCTCTCATGAGGCCCTTGGAGAAGGCACCTAGGTTCCGTAACTGCAGGATGATCAAAGACACAGATGTGATCTCAATCCAGGTGTCTCCGTCCCCGTCAAGGAAAAGTTTCAGCCTGGGGAACTGCGGGATGTCCGCTGCAAGTCTGGAGAAGTGTGAGGAGAAATGTGAGGATGTCTGTAGAGACAGGCAGGTCAACAGCCTGATCCGAGCCTGCAGGCGGCCAAACACTCACGTCTACAACCCTTTGCCAGCATCAGACCTTGACCCGGGGGTCAGGCCCGTAGCCTACAACTTCCCCGCCCACCCGGTCGTTGTGCAGCGGTCTGATGTCCAGTATAAAAAAAGTGATAAGGAAGAGCTCGCCCTGACCTCTGACCCCTTCGTGATCACAATGAAAACTCAAAGCCTTGATCGTTACAAGCAATTATCCCAGAGCGAAGACACGAAACCCCAGGCTTATTTTCATAACCACAACATTCTAAACCTTGACAGACGTCTTCTTCCTAGTAAACCAAAAGGTGGTAGTTTAGAAATTCTAAATTCATACGAATTTGCAAGCATCCATTCGAAGAAGCCTTTCAAAAGTGAGACAGAACTTAGATACAAAGAACTTCCTGGTGCCCCTGTGGCCACCAACCACTTACATTCTTTGACTGACTTGCAACTCATGTTCTCTAGTAGCTTAGGCAGCTTGGCCTTCATGGATGTGGCACTGCTAGGGACATCTAAAAATAGTTTGTACACTAGAACCACCGGCGGGAGTCCATTACCACACATCGTGCCTGCTTCAATGACATCACTCACAAAAGACACAGATGATGACGTCAATGGGGACAATGGTAATCAAAGATTTTGCAAATAGTTTTTTTTTAAATGTTAACAGAGCTGACGATTAATTTTAAAATAATAAAAAATGTTTCAGTTACCATATTTGTATTTATTTTTAAAGTCAGGCTACTGGGCATATTGTGTTTAAAGTCAAGCTACTGGGCATATTGTGTTTAAAGTCAGGCTACTGGGCATAGTGTGTTTAAAGTCAGACTACTGGGCATAGTGTATTTAAAGTCAGACTACTGGGCACAGCGTGTTTAAAGTCAGGCTACTGGGCATATTGTATTTAAAGTCAGGCTACTGGTCACTGTGTGTTTAAAGTCAGGCTACTGGGCACAGTATGTTTAAAGTTAGGCTACTGGGCACAGTGTGTTTAAAGTCAGGCTACTGGGCATAGTGTGTTGACAGTTTAGTTGCTGAAAGCATATCTGTATTTCAGCCAATCACAAACTGATATAATAGCAAGATGCATTGTGAAGCATTTTTTAGTTTATTTAAAAAAAAAAATTGTTTATTGTAGCTTCAAATTGTAACTTAAATAATAAGAATTAAAACTACAGTTGCCATTGATAGAACTGCTTCCATGTTCCAAGAAATCGAAAATTAAAAGTAAAAGGTAAATGTTACTTTTTTTCATTTCAAATTTCAGAACACATACTTCTTTATTCCCTTTAAGTATTTCTTTTACACTAACATTCCATGGCTTCAAAAACATTAGTAGTAGTATTTATTTTAATTATAAGACCTACTTTTCTAATGCACTCTTTATTGACCTACTTGAAAATTTTATTATCGGATTATAAAAACTTAAATTGTTGTTTTATAGATATTCAACGGCAGTCATATTGTTCCAAGTTGGTGGCTTCCCTTGAAACGTACCTTCGACTTCTCCACAACCCAACATTTCTTTTGTTTGGCATCAGCAATTTCTTGACCAACTTGTCTTTCTTCATGCCCGTCCTTTACATGGTAGACAGAGCACTGGACAGTGGGTCAGTATAATGTTGCCAAGAAAATACTTTGGATTGTTTTTAATTTCTTGTGTCTGTAATTTTGATGTAAATTTACAAAGAATGGATTTGTGTCCCTTTGTGTGTACATGATTTTTATACAATACCACTACACAAATACAATGCCATTACAATACCACTACACAAATACAATGCCATTAAAATACCATTACAACACAAGTAAAACACAACAAAATGCCATTACAGTACCACTACAAAAATACAATGCCATTACAAAAATACAATGCCATTACAATACCACTACAATACTATGCCAGTACAATACCACTACAATACAATGCCATTAGAATATCATTAGATCCCAATTACAATACAACACAATGCCATTACAATACCACTACAATAAAATGCTATTACAAAATCATTACAGCACAATTACAATACATTACAATGCCATTATGATACCATAAAAATACAATTATATTATAATTAGATTGCTATTTTTAAAAAAATGAAAAGTAATAAAAAGTTTTTTTGGGGAGAAATTATCTTTTAAAATGCACGGACTACCAGAAAACTCCTGCGAAGGTTTTTAGCAGAAGAAGCAAACTAAACGAAGATGGTAAACAACCTGATTGTAATTGATGTCAGAAGTGAGACAAGAGTGATAAGAGAAGACTGATAAAAGATTGATAAAAGATTGATGAAAAGAGACAAACAAATTCTTTCAGTGGTTCTTTCAGACTTGTTTACTCTTACGATTTTGGCGTACAATGTACGATTTTGAGGTGTTAACATTATATATACTGTATGTTTATTTTTTACTATAAATCTAAGGTATTGAACGATTTTGTGATGATATTGTACGATTTTAAGAGTTTGAGGGTAAACAGGTCTGCTCTTTCCAATAAAATGGTTGAATTGATGATTTGAAAAAAAAATGATAGCATATTTTATCAAGCTTTGATAATTTGTTTTTTCAGAATAAAGAAAGATGAGGCGGCCATGTTGATATCGCTGTATGGAGCAGGAAACATCTTTGGGAAACTGTTCTTTGGTTGGCTAGCGGACAGGGGGCTGGTGGACAGGCTCTTCTATTACATTGCATGTCTGACTGTCTGCGGCGTGTCCACGTGTGTCAGCCCCGCGTGTGGTTCTAGCCATGAGCTCCACAGTGTCTACGCCTTTGTCTTTGGCTGTTTTATTGGTAAGAAATTGCTTTTTATTCAGACTGTAGGCTATAAATAAAATCTGGCCATCCTGCAGCTTTCTATGTGACCTCTGACCTAAGAATGGATTTTTACTTTTTATGAGTCTTTAAAATTTAAGAAAAGGATTCCATGTAGTCCTAATATTACTTTGTAGTCCTATTACTTTGTCGTCCTACTATTACTTTGTAGTACTACTATTGCATTTCATTACGGTGACATCACATACTTATAATTGAGGAATGCGTATTTAAACTCTACTGTCTAACATACAGTTAAAACACCTATCCCATTGGTGACAAAAATTAATTTTTAGCATCTGACTAATACAGGCTTTAAAAATACATAATGACATGACATACATAATTGCATGAGATACATTATTACATGAAAGACATAATTTCATGATGTATGTAATTGTATGTCATCTTGCCATTTTTGTATGTTCGAGACCAAAGGGGGACAACCACCACCACTTTATGTATTTTTTTTTGTTATAACTAATCTCAAAGCCATTTTAAACCACCTGCCTCCAGGAAATGACTCCCGTCTTCATGTGAAAAAGTCTTCCAATTTGTTGCAAGTCATTGTAATTGCTAGGCACAACTTGCTGTGTGAGGAAGATTATTGCAAATTGTACCATGAGGTACATGTCCCGTACCATGAGGTACATGTCCCGTACCATGAGGTACATGTCCCGTACCATGAGGTACATGTCCCGTACTATGAGGTACATGTCCCTAACCATGAGGTACATGTCCCGTACCATGGGGTACATGTCCCGTACCATGAGGTACATGTCCCTATTTGACCCTTAACTCTTTTGCTGCGGATTAAAAAAAAAAATGTCCAAATTTTTCAAAGAGCAAATAAAAGTGAGAGGTTGGGTTTATGAAAAAAATATTCAAAATATTATTTTTTGGTTTGTAAGACTAAACTTGGCATCAAATGAAAGATAGATCTAATTGAATGGGCTGTCTGTTTGTAAACTTATTTCTTCAGCTAAATAAAATAAGTTACAGAAAAGAAATATAGAATGTGAAAACATTGTCTGCTAAACCATTTTCCCCCAAAAACCTATGTTGTACGCATTCCTCATCTTCACTTCTATAACTCAAATCCTCTAAAACTACTACTATCGGAATCATCCGATGGATCTAAATATAAATCATCTTCACTATCAAAAGAAATAGTATAAAACAATTCCAAAGGTTTTTGAGCTTGTGCCGCAGCGAAAGTGTGCCACAGCGAAAGTGTGCTGCAGCCAAAGTATGCCGCAGCCAAAGTATGCCGCAGCCAAAGTATGCCGCAGCCAAAGTATACGGCAGCCAAAGTGTGCCGCAGCTTAAGTGTAATTATGGACATCCAAGAAAAAATTATTAATCCTCTTACTTTCACTCACTTAAATGTTTCCCTAAACAAACCAAAAAAAAACTTTGTGACCATTGTGTCTGACCCCTGTGTTAGCACATTCACCATTTTTTTCATTGGTGATAAAATTCAAATATTTTTGGTCTCAGGATATTTCTCATAAGTTGAGTTACACTTTTTTTAACCAGTGATCAATATTTTACTAGCTGTTTCTGTCACAAATTTATCCATGGCGTCAGTGGTCAGTATTTTACTAGTTGATTCTGTCACAAATGTATCCATTGACCAGGATTCACCTGTGGAAATTTTAATCTGTCGCAAAAAATATTTCAAGCAAAATTTATTTACACACTTTAAAAAAAACCATGAATATTTCTTTGAGAAATCGAAATTTTTTAAAGTGAACAAAAGAACTACTTATTGAGGTTTGAAAATTGAGGAGTTCTCACTCTGCCAATAATTAATTATTCAAATTTATTTTTGTCATCAATAAACATTAAAAAAAACTGTCAATAAATGTTTCTGATTAATTTAAATTATAATTAAATTTTAATTATTTAAAAAATTTTCAGGAGCCTATGTGACCTTAGTACCTATTGTAACAGTCGATTTAATGGGCCTTTCTGTGGTGGCTGAAGCTTTTGGACTGCTGCTAAGCTTCATGGGTATCGCCACAGCTTTTGGTACTCCAGTAGCTGGTAGGTGGTGATGTTTTTATACAAACTTATTTACAGTCTTTACATCTTCTTTTAGTTTTTAAAGTCTCATTTTGTTATAGTTTTTATAGTCTCATAATCTTACAGTTTTCATAGTCTCATAATCTTATAGTTTTTATAATCTCATCATACAGTTTTCATAGTCTCATAATCTTATATTCTTTGTAGTGCAAAAATAGAATTTCAATGGCTGATCTACTCTATTTAAACAATGACCAATGTCGAATACAAAAAAAACATTTTTAACGGCCCTGGCTCGACATTGATGTCATTATTATATTTGGCATTTATTCCCTTTACCAGGTTGGATATTTGACTGGACTGGTAGCTACACAGCATCTTTCATCCTGCACGGAGTTTTTATTCTGGTCAGTGCCTTCATGCTTATTCCGCTTTTGGTGCTGAAACGATCTCAGAACAAGCCTCAGTAGACAGCTGGGAATTATTGTTGTGTCAAGGGCCTCCTTACCAGATGATGCATTTTATCCAACACTATGAGGACCTATGCACATTTGTCTTTTCATAGCACACACAATTCTCTTTTCATAGCAAACACAGTTCTCTTTTCATAGCACACACAATAGTCTTTTCATACCATAAACATTTGTCTCTTCACAGCACACACATTTGTCTCTTCATAGCACACTCATTTGTTTTGTTATTTTCTCTGGCTACCTCATTTCACCCAATTATTTCAACTATTCAATTAAAGTTTAAAAAAGAAAACATTTCTAGCTAAGCAAAGCACAAAATAATTGTTGTTCATTGCTTAAGACTTTAAAAAAGAGAATGAGACTCCCATATAATGGGTAATACTGATATAATGGATAATACTGATATAATGGATAATTCTATATATATATATATAAGACTACAAGTCTCCAAACCGATATAAATGACTGCCTTAGACAATGTACACCAGATATTTGCAATACCTTCAAAAACAACTTTCACAGATCATGCCACCACCACACATTTACAGATCATGCCACTACCACACATTTACAGATCATGCCACTACCACACATTTACAGATCATGTCACTACCACACATTCACAGATCATGCCACTACAACTATTTTTCAGCTTCCGTTTCAAGCCAGGAGCAAATTGAGCCAAAATATTGTGTCTGGGCAGGATAAAAATCTCTGTTGTGGATTTTATAGGCATGCCCATCTGCAGCTACGCCTACTTATGTTAAAGGCAACTGTCAGCTAAGCCTACTTATGTTAGAGGCAACTGTCAGCTGCAAGCTCTTTTGAAAAATATATGCGGGCATGTAATGAATTAACATAATTATACATATTAAAGTGATAGAACTTGAGTGACCTCCATGTTGGTCAACTATCACTGATGAATATCGTACACTTTTGATCCACATGTTATTTCCTGTGTGCCATATTGTAAATAAACACAAACTATATTTATACATGTATATGCACAGTTCAAGACTTTGTTGATGTTTACTGGATAACCAGGTTAAATCAAGTCATCCTCTTTGGATGGCTTATTTTGTTGTACACAACGCTGATATATTTTGTTGTAGCTTAGCATTTCCTTCTTTAATTATAATAAATTAAATTTATGTTGTTTTTTTAGAAATCTTTAAATTTATGTAACATTCATTTAATGTTTATGTAATATTTATGTAATGGGATGTAAGTATGATGCTTGAAAAAATGAAATTGTTGTGTCAAGAGTTGGTGTTTTTAAATTTCTTGCGTGTTTGTACGTCACATATTCATTGAGAATTATGTGCAAGATTGCAGCCACTAAAATTTGTAGCACTCTTACATAACACTTATTAGCACATCTTATGTGGTTGATATTATGTGAGCTTTTCTGAGTTTTAAAGAAAAAACATATAAAAATTGTTTAACAGTGGCCTCCCGCCCTTCAGGTTTGGAATCTCTGGGTTACTTAAAGAACAAATATAATGAAAGAGTGACCCCTGAACCTGAACAGTTGGAGACAGTGTCAGAGAGAGTGCAGAAATAGAACAACATCTTGAATATTGAAGAACTGGTGATTGAACGATTTTGCAATGGTGATGGAAGGATGATTGATTGATTGTGTATGGTGATTGATAGATCTTGCAATGGTGATTGATTGTGTAATTTTGATGTATTGATTGTGTAATGGTGATTGATTATGCAATGATTGATTGATTTATTGAGAAATGATGATGGCTTGATTGTGTAATGGTGATTGATTGATTGTATTATGGTAATTAATTGATTGTGTAATGCTGATTGACTGATTGTGTTATGGTAATTAATTGATTGTGTAATGCTGATTGAATGATTGTGTAATGGCAATTGAATGATTGTGTTATGGTGATTGATTATGTAATGGTGATTGATTGATTGTGTAATGGTGCTGTGCAACAATTGAAGCTTTATTTAAACTTTATGCATAAAATGAAATAAACAGCTATTTTACCACCATCTTCTTTTCTGGTCTTAAAATTTGTGCATTCATATAAGAGATCTAACATTCCTATAAGAGATATTACATTCATATAAGAGATATAACATTCATATAAGAGATATAACATTCATATAAGAGATATAACATTCTTATAAAAGAGATATAACATTCATATAAGAGATCTAACATTACTATAAGAGCGATATCACATATAAGAGATCTAACATTACTATAAGAGCGATATCACATATAAGAGATATAACATTCCTATAAGAGAGATATAACATTCCTATAAGAGATATACCATTCATAAAAGAGAGATTTAATATTCATATAAGAATTATAAAGAAAAATCACCAACTCGTTACAAAATCTTTCAATTCGTCTTTTTTGTTTGTGTTTAGATTCCATTTTCATCATAGCTACTTCAGTTGTTATAATATTTCAGTGAATTTATTTTATGATTAGGATTTTTTCCAGCAGCTGTTTTAACTAATAAGGCAACCTCGTATGGTGGAGACATGATCGATTTAATCCCACCTGAAATTGGCTCGTATCTTCAGGCTTGGTTGGCTGAGTCTTTTAGTTCTTGCTTATGATAACCACTTCCCCATCCAATCTCTTTAGCTGCTCTCCCACCCAATTAGTTCCCCAGCTTCTATCAAAACTATCTTTGAAACAACTTATCTTTGAAGCTACCTATCTTTGAAGCTACCTATCTTTGAAACAACCTATCTTTGAAACAACCTATCTTTGAAACAACCTATCTTTGACACAACCTATCTTTGAAATCTATCTATCTACCTATCTATCTAATCTACCTACCTACCTACCTACCTACCTACCTACCTACCTACCTACCAACCAACCTACCTACCTACCTGCCTGCCTACCGCCCACTCACCCGCCCACTCACCCACCCACCCACCTATCTATCTATCTATATTTATTTATTTATTATCTTGGTAGTTTTTATATTTTATTTCAAAATTTCTGTTTTTTTCGTATTTCCTGGAACTGCCTCCCCGAACCATCAGGGGATGAGGTCATCACTGGTTAAGAAGGGGATGAGGTCGTCACTGGTTGAGAAGGGGATGAGGTCATCACTGGTTAAGAAAGGGATGAGGTCATCACTGGTTGACAAGGGGATCACTGGTTGAGAAGGGGATGAGGTCATCACTGGTGAAGAAGGGGATGAGGTCATCACTGGTTAAGAAGGGGATGAGGTCATCACTGGTTAAGAAGGGGATGAGGTCATCACTGGTTAAGAAGGGGATGAGGTCATCACTGGTTAAGAAGGGGATGCGGTCATCACTGGTTAAGAAGGGGATGAGGTCATCACTGGTTGAGAAGGGGATGAGGTCATCACTGGTTGAGAAGGAGATGAGGTCATCACTGGTTGAGAAGGGGATGAGGTCATCACTGGTTAAGAAGGGGATGAGGTCATCACTGGTTAAGAAGGGGATGAGGTCATCACTGGTTAAGAAGGGGATGAGGTCATCACTGGTTGAGAAGGGGATGAGGTCATCACTGGTTAAGAAGGGGATGAGGTCATCACTGGTTAAGAAGGGGATGAGGTCATCCCTGGTTAAGAAGGGGATGAGGTCATCCCTGGTTAAGAACCACAGTTTTAGTTTTACTGATAGCAAAACTACTGTTCTTATTAACAAGACTAACACTCACTAAATCAGAGCTGGAAATAACATCCAGGTCCGGGTGTGAGAATCACTGTGTCTAAGGTGAACATTGTTTGGGTCGTGAATTGGGAGTGTGAGCGTGAGTGGATCTTAACATTTTATATGAAGTGTGCATTAAATAAAACCTTTAGCCTCTTGTACCGTATGTTACTTGTATTGTATGTTACGTGTCCAGTATGTTAATTGTATTGTATGTTTGCCAACGCTTGTTTCCGAGAGTGCGTAGTATCAAAGCCAAACCCTGGACCTGGTGTCAACTACCTGGGTGCAGGGTGGCCTAGCGGTCTAAACTGACCCAACTGTTCAATCCCCATCAAAGCCCACATCCCAAGTTCCCCGGGTGGATGAGACTCGTTAGCCTTGGACGGCAACCCATTTAAGAGAAAGGCTAACTCTGAACTCAAACCAGGGACCAAAATGATCAATAAATTGATCGTGGGCCCTCAAATGGGAACAAAGAAGGGGAAAAAACCAACAAAAAAACTTCTTTTAGGAAGGAGGATTTTATAACTAATACATTTATTCAGAAAATACTTTTGTAGCCGCAGGTAGGAATGTTTTGTATAAATATCAGTAGGGATAGATTGTATAAATAAAGGATAGATTGTATAAATATCAGTAGGGATAGATTGTATAAATGTCAGTAGGGATTTCAAAGACCTGTATGCAGCTTGGAAGCAGCTGATTTCTTCTTAATGCTCCCACTAGACAATAGAGCGTTTAGAAATATTTATTTGGGAAATTGCTGCTCCTTCTCTTTCGCCGTAACCCTATAATTTACTTTCTCTCCATACCCCAAATTCCTACCCCTACCCCCAATCCTTTGCCCGTATTCAGCCCCACCCTCTACCATCTTCATGCCCCACCCTCTACCCTCTTCATGCCCCACCCTCTACCATCTTCATGCCCCGCCCTCTACCATTTTCATGCCCCACCATCTACCATCTTCATGTCCTTCCCTCTACCATATTCCTGGAGATTCTAATGTTAAATCCAGAAGTAGAACCATTACGTCACACTGCAATGAGTTGACCGAAAAAATGTCTTCTATTTCTTAGATTCGAAACTAACGAAAGTCTTGTACAAAGGTTTTTTTTTTTTTACTTGGGAAATCCCAACCGCTTGACACCTTCAAAACAAGGTAATTTGCACAGCTTTAACAAAATGGCAACTTTGCTCTTCAACAAGAGTGTCAAGTCATCACACTTGAATAGAGACCAGATCAACTGGGTTTGAGGCTAGTAGCGAAATAGAAAAAAGAGTTGCATCTGACTACGTCATGTATGTACTTTCCATCCAGTGTAATACCAGGGCCGTAGGACATTTCGAGGTCCCCAAAGTCACCATGACAATTGCCCCTCCACATCTTGCTGTAGAGACAAGAAGAGGAACAACAATGCAACTTTTGGGAGACTTCAAAGTTCAAAGGTCATAGGTTAGCTACTCAAATTGCGCCATTAATACCACACATAGTTTTCTGCTACGAATATTTGTTAGAATTCATTAAAATTAAGCTATCGTAAGGAAGTAGATTATTAGAATTGCTATTCCAAGAGTATTATTTGGGTTATGAAAGTAACAATCTGGTTATGGTTAACAGACGTATTTCATATGTTTACTGTAGGGCTACTTGTAAAATATTACCGAAGAAAAAGAAGATTGTAAGTTCTTTAAAAATTATTTCAAAATTATCTTAGGTAGCATCAAAAACATTTCAACATACATTTTCAAGTGGTCAATTGTTTAGGCTACTTTTAGACAGTTATCGCAGAATAGGCCCCAGCTTTAAAATCCCACAATGGGCCTCGGCTTTAAAATCCCATAATGGGCCCCAGCTTTAAAATCCCAGAATAGGCGCCAGCTTTAAAATCCCAGAATAGGCCCCAGCTTTGAAATCCCAGAATAGGCCCCAGATTTAAAATCCCAGAATAGGCCCCAGATTTAAAATCCCACAATGGGCCCCAGCTTTAAAATCACAGAATGGGCCCCGGCTTTAAAATCCCAGGATGGGCCCCAGCTCTGAAATCCCAGAATGGGCCCCAGCTTTAAAATCCCAGGATGGGCCCCAGCTTTGAAATCCCAGAATGGGCCCCAGCTTTGAAATCCCAGAATGAGACAAAACTTCTAAATCACAGAATGGGCCCCAGCTTTGAAATCCCAGGATGGGCCCCAGCTTTGAAATCCCAGGTTGGCCCCCAGCTTTGAAATCCCAGAATGTAAAATCCCAGGATAGGCCCCAGCTTTAAAATCCCAGAATGGGCCCCAGCTTTAAAATCCCAGAATGGGACCCAGCTTCAAAATCCCAGAATGGGCCCCAGCTTTAAAATCCCAGAATGGGCCCCAGCTTTGAAATCCCAGGATGGGCCCCAGCTTTGAAATCCCAGAATGGGCCCCAGCTTTGAAAGAAACTGTCAGGAATCCCCTTACATAACTACAGCTCTATGAAAAGCCTTATACTTTGCAGGTTATCTGGAGTAGAGGCCACCCGGTAGGCACTCCAAGGAGTACACACATATATAAAGTTACATGTAAACCCTACAAGTGCCGCCCCGGATAGTCCCACCCTAGTTACTCCGCTGTAGCTTCCCTGACATGGTAGCGGCATCGTCGAGTGAGATGTCAAGTGAGATGTCAAGTGAAATGTCAAGTGAGATGTCAAGTGAGATGTCAAGTGAGATGTCAAGTGAAATGTTAGTGAGATGTCAAGTGAGATGTCAAGTGAGATGTCAAGTGAGATGTCAAGTGAGATGTCATGTAAGATGTCAACTGAAATTAACCAAGAAAATAAAAATGTGTATTTCTGGATGCTCATTAATAGTTTATGTTGTGCAGTTTTATTTGTAAATCGTGAGTGGGAGGGGCATGCTATGAGTGGGAGAGGCATGCTATGAGTGGGAGGGGCATGCTAATGATTGGGAGGGGCATGCTATGAGTGGGAGGGGCGTGCTATGAGTGGGAGGGGCATGCAATGAGTGGGAGGGGCATGACATGAGTGGGAGGGGCATGACATGAGTGGGAGGGGCATGCTATGAGTGGGAGGGGCATGACATGAGTGGGAGGGGCATGCTATGAGTGGGAGGGGCATGACATGAGTGGGAGGGGCATGCTATGAGTGGGAGGGGCATGACATGAGTGGGAGGGGCATGCTATGAGTGGGAGGGGCATGACATGAGTGGGAGGGGCATGCTATGAGTGGGAGGGGCATGCTATGACGCTTGGTCCTGTATGTAGCGCTAGTTTGTGGCGTCATTGTTTAAAGTAAGAAAGAAGGACGTCACAAAAGTTGACGACTCCAGTTTTGTTTCTCTCCAGTCGCC